CTTAGGCACTATGCGTAAGTCTTTTAATTAGTTCTACTTAAAATTTGAAAGGTATAGAAGGTTTTCAATGTGGAACAAAACTCAAAATCATAAGAAAGACAGGTTTGCTGGTCTGATGGAGCCTGGTGAGACCCCTGAGACTGTGGCCCCTAGTCACCCTTCAGGTCTGGAACTGAACTCCCTCCCATGGCTGTCAGCCAAACAATAGACAGACATGTGGGGTGAACATTTATATCAGGTAGATGCACTTCTTAGAACGATCAATCATGGGAGAAGAGACGGGCAGTTTTTGCACAGGGAGATAGCTCTAGGGGCAAGAATGCACAGGAAAGAAAGACACACAGAGAAGAGATAATACAGGGAGGAAGTGGGAAGAGAGCTGCTACATTGTGGGGAATTGCAGTCAGTGTCATGAAATAAAATGTATATGAACTGCTGTATGGAAAATGAATTCGTTCTGTAAACTTCAACCCAAATCACAATAAAAATTTAAAAAAAAAAAAAGGTATAAAAGGTTTTATCATGAAAGTCAGCCCTTCTCCCACTCATCCTTGAGCTACTCGGTTCCCTTTCAGGAAGCAACTCTTCACCAGTTCTTGTGTGTCCTTTCAGAGATATTCTAAAGGCACATATGACACATGCTTAACAGGTGTTACCATACACACACATCTGTACCTTGCTCTTTCACTTTCTATTTTGGAGATAATGCCCTGTCAGTACCCTTACAGCAGTCTTATGTTTTTAAGGGCCACCTAATATTCCACTGTGTGGGTACATCACAGCTTATTTAGCCAGTCCTCTACTGAAGGACATTTAGGTTATTCCCAATCTCTTGTTAATACAAAAATCTCAATAAGGACTACGTACGTATGCACATTTGGCAAATAAACAACATTCAATGGCCAAATAAAATCCCAGTCTAATGCCAATGACTGCCTTTTACTAGTCAAAAAAAAATAAACACCAAAACTCCATCAAAGATAGCCATCCAAGATTAAAAGGCAAAAGACTCCAAACCTGTGTTTTTCTCTTTTCATTTGCTCAGAAGGGAGTCCCACCAAGCAAATGAATTTAATCAGAGACCCCACTAATACCCTGAGTAATGACCTGTGTAATCTCCAATTCTGGCTTTGAAGGGACTCTTAGACTCTAACTAAATGCCTGGGATGCTGGCTTCCCTTGTAGCCCCCCCTCTGGTCCCCAACAACACTGACCTGTGCAGAAATTCCTGCCCTTTGTTGTAGGCGTGGATGGTGGCAAGGCCCTGTATGCTGGACGTGATGTGTGAGAGGAAAGGTGACTGCGTGATATTGTCCAGGCGTTTCAATTCTCGAATTAAAACCCTAGAGAGAAAACAAGTTCTATGTCAGCGTGCTCGACCAGAAACTCTGGCTTCATCCCCTGCCCTGGCAGATGTGACAACTTCCTGTTTACCTGGAAACAACATGGAGAACTGCAAAGAGGATGACGAGGGGTCCTACTGCCACAAGGAACCAAGGAAAAACTCCTGCAATCATCCCAACACAGAAGAACACCAGGATGACGTTCTGGATGAACATCTCAGCCTGGAATGGCAGGCGCACATCAACTGGGGAACCATAAAGGATAAGAGTCAGACTACTGGGATCCGCAAACAAGAAAAACAGACGCCAAAGTTAAAATGAACAAAAAGAAGGCTCCACCCCTGGCTACTACTGCTGAATGTTTTGATCCAAGAGTCTACAGAAAAATTCCTGCCAAAAGGGAGAAAATACTGAACAGAATTTCAAATCCTAATAGAAGTCAGACTTTTGGGAACCACTGAGGCTAGATGAATCCCCAAAACTATTGCTCTAAAATAATCTTTAAACCTTAAACCAAAAATTTCCTTAAAGTGTTCTCCAAACCAAACAATAATTTAACTGTATTAGTAAAGCATGTCTACCTTGAGCATTGTGTTCCTTTAAAGAACAATCTATATGGCATCAAGCTGATACGAGCAACTTAAAAGATTAGACAGTAAGTTTAGGGGGCAATGAGTTCATGTCAATGGGGGAGGGATAACTCAGAAAAAGAGGGTGAGAATGGCTGTACAACTTGAAGAACGTAATCAGCGTCCCTGAAGTGACCATGTAGAAATGAATGAATTGGTGTAAATTCTCTCTGTATATTTTCAACAACAAAAAAAATAAAGTAAAATATTAAAAAAGAAAGAGAAACTCCACCAAAATCCCTACCTGAAGTTCATGATTCTGTACTTTGAACAGTCAGATGAAACTGGAAATCTGATTAGTCTCATTTTAATTCTCCCAATCATATTTAAGTAATCTTTAACCCCACTCTTTTACACTATCCTGTGCATCCTCTGTAGACAGTTTTTTTTTTTCTTTTACAAAGTGACATGTGCTTGTTGTAAAATATCTGGGAAATAAATATGTAAAATAAACAAACATCTATATGCTCACAATCCCAATGAATTGATTTAAGAAATTTTTTTCACGGAAATCTTTCAACATACACTAAAGCTGAAAGAAGAGTGTAGAACCTCTAACTGTTACTGAATTTTTCTTCATTCATCTCCTTTTGGTAAACTTTCCCCTTGCTCCCTTTTTTGGGAGCACATCCCAGGCATGCTAATAACATTGATTACCAAAAAAAAAAAAAAAAAAAAAGTATTTTAAATAAACTATTTTTCAGAGCTGAAGTTTACAAAACACTTGTGCAGAGTTCCTATGTAACTCCCTCCCCCTTGTAGACTATTTCTCTTATTGTTAACACCTCACATTCCTGTGGCACGCCGGCTACGAATAAGCCAATATTTTTGTGTTATTATTAACTACAGTCCACAGTTTACATTAGGGTTCACTCTCTGTGTTGTACAGTCCTACGGGTTTTGACATATGCATAATGGCACGTGTCCACCACCACAGTAATCTGACAGAACAGCTTCACTGCCCTAAAATGAAATGCCTTGTGCTCCACCTGTTCACCCTCCCTCCCCTCTTCCTGCTCCCTGGCGACAACTAATCTTTTCACTATCTCATTTTGCCTTTTCCAGGATGTCATGTGGTTGGAATCATACAATATGTAGCTTTTTTAGACTGGCTTCTATTCACTTAGCAATATGGATTTAGAGTTCTTCCATGTCTTTTTGTAACTTCATAGGTCATTTCTTTCTATTACTGAATAATGTTCCAGTGTATAGATGCACCACAGTTTGTTTATCCACTCACCTATTGAAGGACATCTTAGCTGCTTTCATGTTTGGCAATTATGAATAAAACTGCTATAAGCATTCATGTACAGGTTCTTATTTGGACATGTTTTCATCTCATTTGGGTACATATCTAGCAGTGTGATTGCTGGATCATACGGTAAGCCTGCATTTAGATTACTAAGAAACTGCTGAACTGTCTTCCAAAGTGGCTGCACCACTTTGTGTTCCCACCATGAATGGATGAGGAGGGTTCCTGTTGCTGTATATCTTCACCAGCAGCTGGTGTTGTCAGTGTTTTGGATTTTAGCCATTCTAAGATGTATGTGGACTCCCTGAGTGTCCCAAATGGCTAATTACTCAGCTGCTAACTGAAAGGCTGGTCCATTCAGAGATGCTTTGGAAGAAAGGCTTGGTAAACTACTTCTGATAAATCACCCACTGGAAATCCTACAGAGAACAGTTCTACTCTGACACACAAGGTCCAAACTGACTTGATGGCAACGGATTTGGTTTTGGTTTAACAAAATTTGCAATTTCCTAAGGACATAGTATCCTTTCATATGCTTATTTACCATCTGTATATCTTCTCTGATGAGGTGTCTGCTCAGATCTTTTGCCCATTTTGTAAATGGGTTGTTTTATTGTTGAGCATAATCTTTTTCCATTCTTGTGCATGTGTATGCACGTGTGCTTGTGTGTTTAACATACAGGATCATGCTATGCATCAGTTCCATGTATCAGTGGTGGTTCTAATCCCTCCTCACCTCTAGCCACAGCTTTACACTACCCTATCAATGCCTGATACAAACGCCTTCTATTGAGGCAGCATAGTGTAGTAGTTAAAAACATCAGTGTTGGAGTAAAAAAGATGGGCTCATCTCCCAACCCCATTACCTAACAGCTGTGTGATCTTAGATAAGTTACATAACTTTCTAGATGTCAGCTTCCTTGTGTCTTCAGTGGATGAAACAATACCCATTTCATAAGGCTGCTGTGAGGATTAGGATAATGCATGTAAAACACTCAGCACACCACTTGTGACACAGTAAGCCCTTAATAAATGTCAGGTAGCATTACTCTCATTCTGGGTTATGGGGAATCTGTAAGTCCTGGTGGCTGGCACTGCCCATGCAACATCAGGGAATCTACAGAAGTTGTCAGAGGTTGTGGGCCTCCAGGAACCAAGGCATCACCTCAAAGCAAGCATGTGCTGTGGAATTCTAGCTGTCCTTCTCCAGAGCCTTGATGATTCAATCCTCTGAGTTTGTTTTCAGGTCCAGTAAGACTGAATGGGAACTCAGATGAGGGCTAAAAAAATCAAACAGGTCCTTAGCCTAAATACAAGCTGAAGCATGGAGAAAATGCCAAAATGAAAATACTCCTGGTGAGAAAACCAGCAGCCAGTGTGTTCTCAGTATCTAAGAATATACAGGTCTGTGTATCTGGGGAGTCATCTGGAAGACTATAGAGGACAGTAAGCTCCAGTGTGAGCGCCAAAGCATAAAAGAAAGGATGAGTGAGAAGTACCTTCATCCATGTCTTTGGAAAACCTGTTGAGAATCCTCCCCGTGGGAGTCGTGTCAAAAAACTTCATAGGGCTTCGAAGGATCCTGCGGAACAGCTCATCATGGAGCCGGGATGAGGCTCGCAGTGTGCCCTGAGGAGCAGAGCACACGGGGATTAGCGCCAGAGACCTAGGGACTTGGGCAGGCTCAGTCCTCACTCATCCAGGCCACAGATCAGCAAGATACTGCCAAAGCTGGGGAAGAGCAACTGGCCTGGGCTCACAGTAAACCCCCAGGGAGGAAGGAGGTAGCTGACCTGAAAAGTTTGAGGCAAATGGGATACAAGTGATTTCAGCTAGGGCCATCCTACTTTCAGGGAGCTCTCTGACTCAGAATAAGCCCAAGAGAAAGCATGCAGACACCTGACCACTACAGTCACCAAGGAGAGGGGGACAGAGGCCAGCACTACATACCTTGACAAAGACAACTCCTCGAATGGCTTTCAGGATCAGCATGACTGCCATGGACAGGGCGTAGATGCTGGCATAGTACTGCATGAGAGGGTTGTCCTTCATGCTGTCACTCACCACAGTCCTGTTCCCTTGAGTCACTGTGGTGTTCTGTTTGAAGGCAAGATGCTCTGAGGCTGGGCTCCAAAGGACTGCCAACAGCCTCTGTTTGTGCCACACTCAGCTCCAGGGAGGGAAGGGGGTGGTGTTATCAGGATAACAGCCCTGGGACCTGGCTGTGGTGAACGCAAGGTGGGCTTTGCCCACCTCCTCTCTTTTCTCATGGACAAGGGCAGACAGCCTAGTGACAAGAGCTTGACTGCCTTGTGAGTTGGCCAAAAGGGTTTTTTGTTTTGTGAAGTTACATTCTAAAACAAACCAAACTCACTGCCATTGAGTCGATTTGACTCATAGCAACCCATCCTTTTCCAAGGTGGTATCGCTATGGAAGTAGATTGCCCAACCTTCCTTCTGAGGAGTGGCTGGTGGGTTTGAACCGCCAGCCTTCTGGTTAGCAGTTAAATGCCTTAGGCAATATGCCAGTAGAGCTCCCGAAGTTACATTAGGGACTCATCTTATTCATCCTGGGTAATCCTTAGTCAGTGCTCCTTTTATTTAAAAACTAGAGCAGTTTCCCTAAGAATAGCCAGAGCATATGGAGAGATGGCCACATGATTAGATACATGATTTCCTTATTAAGGAGTAATCTTACCCCACTTCCTTGCTTGATCCAGTAACTCAACCACCAGGTGCTGAAGGCAGTGCTGCCCACATTCAACATGAAAAGGGACATAATGACCAGGAATGCCAGGGGACCCCCAGCAGCCCGGATGTAGACACCATATACTGACCAGGGCACAGAACCCTGCCCCTTCTCTTCTGCTTGCACCAGCTGCCCTAGGTAGGAAAAAAGAAACATGAACTCAGAAGGGAAAATTAAGCCACCTGTACAGCAACAAAGGGGCTCTGCTGGTATCCTGGTTAAGGTATTCAGCTGCTAACCAAAAGGTCAGTGGTTCAAATCCTCCAGCTGCTCCACAGTAGAAAGATGAGGCAGTCTGCTTCTGTAAAGATTTATAGCCTTGGAAACCCTATGAGGCAGTTCTACTCTGTCCTATAGGGTAGTTATGTGTCAGAATCAACTCAATGGCAGTGGGTTTGATTTTATAGAGCAGCAGAAACAAAGAGAGCCTATAGTTTCATGAGGCTCCAGATGAGAATCATTTTCTCTTTGTCAGAAGCATTCATTCAGCCCTTTAATATTTACTGAGCAATTAGTAGGAACCAAGTCCAGGATGAGGCTTTGGAGCCATAAAGAGGATGAAGACCAGGTCTCTGATTTCACAATGAAATGGGCTAAATGCAATGATAAGAAGTATAGACAGGGCAGCATGGGGACATCCAGGAGGTGCACCTGACCCACCTGGGGGAGATGGGGAGCCATTAGCAGGAAAGTTTCAAGGAAGATGTTGTGCAGTCTGCATTGTACCACAAAAGTCAGTCAGAGTTGACCAGGTGAGGAGAAAATAAAATCCAAAAACCCACTGCCATGAGTGGATCCCAACTCACAGTGACCCTATAGGACAGAGTAGAACTGCCCTGCAGGGTTTCCAAGTCTGTCAATCATTAGGGAAGCAGACTGCCTCATCTTTCTCAGAAAAAATAACATGAGCACAGGCTCAAAGGTAGGGAAACAGCAATGTATATACAGATAATAGTACCTTGGCACTGCTGAGCATTACGTGAAAGCAGGGAGTGGTACGTCATAAGAAAGGCACTTGAACTTTGCCCTCCACACAAGAATGTCTCAAGAGAATGGGTTAGAAGTGTCAAGATTTAACTCCCTGGGCCCTGTTGGACAAGGTGACTTGGGATGGCCAGAAGGTCCATTCCAGGTGCCCTTGCATGCAGCCTCTTCCATTTCTCCCAGGATCCTGCACACACAGTACCATCTTCTGTGTGTGCCACATCAGGAAAATGAAGAGAAAACATGGCTCTTAAAATGGGAAATGCTTCATGCAGGAAAGTGAGTTGGATGGTCTGTTTTTAACTAGCTATTATCTCAGCTCTCTGTGAGGGCAGATATAAAAGGCAGCAGAGTAGAGAAACATTGAAGAATTTAGTAGTAGCATGTGGTGAGGATGTCACCTAAGGTGTCCCTGGTGTGGCCAGGTGATTGATGCTGACATGAGAATACAGAGAAATAGTAGCACAGGGAGCCTGGGCCTCTTCCTCAAGATGTTTAATCACCTTGGAATGTTGTTGTTGTTGTTGTTATGTGCCCTCAAGCGACCCCTCTTTGGGTTTCCAAGGCAGTATG